GTTTGGTTGGCTAACGAACCTAGCGTTTTTCCTCTTTTCACTGAGTGTTTTCATGTACCAAAGAGAGCCGTTTGGTCTCATGATAGATATTTGGGGTTCTCTATATTCAGTATACTGCTACTAATCATTCTAGAATACGACACAAATCAGATCACTTCCCTAATTTATATCTCATTAATAATAGAATCCAAATCCTTAGCATGGCCTATATATAGTAATGGCTTCATGATCTGACAAGTATGTATATACCTTTCTGGTCTCACTTTTTCCATGATCATTAAAACTTATGCATAGCTATGTCTAGGTTTCTTGGTTCTTCAACCCCAAATTCAAATATCATCTCCTCTGTGAAGTGGAGATAGTTACTTGTCTCCAACATTTATGTTTTCTTGGTCCACAACCGTCTGTAATTATCTGCATATATTTCTAACTTTTCAAGAGTCCACTAAAGGTAATACAGCAACATAGATTAAAAAAATACATAAAAATTAACTAAGGAGCTGTAAAATAGGGAAACACAACTGAGTTAAATGATTGGTTTCCTTCATGGCACAGTTACTGTCTCACAAATTTTAAAATTCTAGAATAGTCTTTTACAACCCAAGCTATTCAACTATTTGCTAGAGGAAATTATTTCCTACTCTGTCTATGCTGGATAGTTAAATCAACACTTTAAAAGTTTAGTTTTACATTAGTCAAGCTCAAATTTCTCATTGAAGCCTGGTTTAAAAAACAATCAAAATCCTCCACTCAACCTTTTCAATCATCGCTGAGAATAGAATGACTTCACTGACGAGACACTGGACTTATGTTGGCTTCATTTAAGAACTGAAGCAGTAGTCATCCAAGGAAGATAAATGCTTAGAGTTCACTTGCACTTTTTCTTAATGACACTTTGTCAGTCTACACCGTAGAACACATCATTAAAAAAACTACAAGAATGAAATAAGGGGAAAAAAAAGAATGAAGTAAGAATTACAACAGAATCTAGCTTATCCTACATGTTCAAAACTATCTAGCATACCTTATTATATACAGAAAAATTATGCCCTCCCCACAAAAAAACCCCACCTCGTTTAAGTTACTTCACTTCTAAATTCTGACTCAGTGACCCTACAGGACAGAGTAGAACTGCCCCACAGGATTTCCAAGGTTGTAATCTACAGACGCAGAATGTCACACCATTCTTCCATAGAGTGTTTAAATTACTGACCTTCTGGTTAGTAGCCAAGAACTTAATCAGTGTAATACCAAGGCTTCTTATTTTACTTCTAGATTATATTGTGAGCAAACATAATTCAATATTTTATTACTTCAAATTCCTTTTGCCATCAAGATTGTACTTCATTTAAATTATATTTAAATCATATTTCCACTGACCATAATACCATTTTTGTTTTACATTTTTAAAAAGTTATTGAAGCTTATTTCTATAATCTAGAAGTGATGTGAAATAACACACAACTCACTGCTTATATCATTTGTATCAAAAAATGTCATTATGGTCACACAATAGAAATATGAATTAAACTAAGTACAATCTTGCTATCAAAGGAATTTGAACCTTACTACAAATGTTGTCCCCTTACCTTTTACAAGAGAAACTAGAAATTATGCTTTCTCTAATTTTTACAAAGAACACTACCTGTAGGATGATACTTCACTAGGAAAGCAAGGAATCAAAATAAGTGTCATCTTTAGAGTGCAAACCTGCAAAAAGAAAAACAGCAAGATTGTCATTTCTGACAAGTTAATATAAAAATCATTATGTTCTAAATAGATGCATGTTCCTTTTAAAATTTCAGAGTATTTTTTTTTATTTCAGAGTATTTTCACTAAGTTACCTAATTACCTAATTCTCCCAACATTATCAATTACCCTAAGTTTTTAAAAGACTGAAAAATTGAAATCCAAAGGGCCAAAATCAAAAGGCAGACCGTTTATTTTCCCATACTTTTTCCTATCTGGCTTTTAGCAAAACCATATAAACTTAACAATTAATGGAGGCCCAAGTTGTTATTGAATCAACATAGTTGGCATACAGAAAAGGGGCATGCACACATGTACTCAGCACCTCCTTATCTAATAGATGTTAAAGTTTCCAACTCACAAGTACTTCCTGTACACCCAATTTGAACTTTTTTTTACACTAAGCTGTAATCATTTCACATGTCTCCCCAGCCTGGTGGCGCTGTCAAATAAGGAAAAGAGTTGGACTACTAACTGCATGGTTTTAAGTTCAAACAAGCAGTTCCAAGGGAGAAAGATGCTTTTTTTGCTCCCGTAAAGATTCAGTCTGGAAAGGTCATAAGGACTCAGAATACACATGATGGCAGTGAGTAGGGTATTTAGCTTAACCATTAAATGACAAAATCGATGGTTAAATTATTTGGGCAGAGTTTTTCCAACTTTACTCAAATAAGATCCTTTATCTTTTAAAAAGTTAAATACCTCATGGTTTTTCTCAAAAACACTCCTGAAACACACCTAGCCCAACTTTTGATTGTGCCTGTAAGTGTTTTCAAAGCTCTAAAAACAGAAACTGCTGTTTGTTACCTGAATGTGAGTATGTTCCTTCCTTGCTTTACATCACAACATCTGGTGGACATTCTGCCTTCAAGTATTCTATAAAAACGATTGTCTTACAAATGTCATTACATTTACATTTCACATATAACACAATAAAACGTATTACACCATGGAAATCACATTCATTGATGTGCATAAACTTCGGTACTCATTACAGAATAAGTCACACAGTTCTCCGAGGACAACGTAAAACAGAAAACCTCCCAATATATTTATTTATTAGATGAATTCTGAGTAAACTCATAAACGTTAAAAAAAAAGGAAAAAAACTAAGGTTATGGTTATTGGGTACAAAAATCATCTATTTTTCTCAGCCTCTCCACCTTCCAAGGCTTATATTAAAATAAAAATCTCATTTGAGTTAAAAAATGTCCCGAAAGTTAAAAATGTCCCCTAGAGAAAAAGATGGGCTATGGAAGTGAAGCTTTCTAAAAAGGACATATGCCATTCAGTTCTGAATCTAGTTGGTAAAGACAACGGGTCTTTTTTTTTTTTTTTAACTTTAAAAGGTGGTGATGAAAATAATGCAAGAAATATACAGACAGAACCACAATAACGGTAGGCTTATAAGTGTAAGACTTGGCAATTTTCAATGTCAAAGTGCAGTGATTTAACAGTATTCCCAAACTACCTCGACTGTATATTTTTTTTTCTTGTCAACCGTCCACCGCCACTTCACATAAAACACAAAGTTCTTCTCTCAACAAAAACAAAGGCTAATGGAACGTGGGCGCTTCTGGTGTACTTGCATAACGCTCATCCCAAGAGTCTTCGATTCCACTAGTTTGGCCTCAATCCACTAAAACGCCAAAGTTCAAAAAAGCAATATCGCCAATAAAGCAATCTGAAGAAGAAAACACTACGGTGTGGCACAAGCGAATCAACGAAGAAAAACTTCCTGAATAGGGACACTGGGACAAACGAACGGCGCCAATGGCTCAGAAAAGTTACTCATTTTATAGACCTGGGAAGGACGCGAAAGGGAACTTTAGGAAGTGACACACCCAGGCCAGACCGCCACGTTAAGGATACAGCTCTTACGAGGCGGAGAAAGCTCTCGCCAGCTCTGGCTGCTGCTGAATCCGGATCCCGTTCCTCCTCCTCCCAGGGGAGGTCGGCTCCCTGGCTTGCCTCCGCGTTCACCCCCTCCTCGTCCCCGACTCCAGCGACTCCCACCCCGGTAAGGCCGGCCTCGAAAGCGGAAACGGTCCAAGGCGATGTGGCTCCGCTCCCAGAAGGACGGTCGCGAACTGCTTTCGGGCAGGGAGCTCGAAGGCAGCCGCACGGAGGGCGGGTGGGACCGGAAAGGCTCTTTGGGTCGGTAGCTGCTGTGTCCCCTGAGGTGGCCTCGCTCCGACGAATGCCGCGAGCGTGAGAAATTCCTCTGCTGCTGTTGAGAGGAGGACGACGACGACGAGGAGCCACCGCCACCACCGGATCCCCCGCCCCGGGCCGGGTGAGGAGGCCTTCGCCGCGGATACGCTAACAGTCCGCCGCCGCTGCTGCTGCTGCTGCTGCTCCGGCTCCGAGTGTTATTATCGTCGTCGCTGATCTCCCCGTCTTCTAGCTCCCCTTCTTCCTTGGGCGAGAGGCCGCTGGAGGCCGGGGTCGGGTTATCTGCGGTCGCCATCTGGGGAGCAGTGCCTTCCACACCACCTTAGCCCTCGGTCCGGGGATCCGCCCAACAATTGCCTTCTTCCTCGCCTCACTGATTCCCTAACGGACCCGGTCGGCGCGGCCTTACCCCACCCCCGGACACCTAGCGGGCTCTGCTCCCCAACTTCCCCGCTCAGCTTTCTCGCCGGACCGTCGCAAGCCAGATCCCTTTCCGAGCGCCCCCTTGCTTCTTCGCGATCCGGGCTCTTCCGCCCAACGAGAAAGGGACTCTGGAAGTGGCGGTGCCTCCGACGTCATTTCCGGAGCCACCGGAAACAAGCCTCCCTGGAGTTCCCGCGATAAGAACAGCGCCGCGCGATGCTGCGTGGGATTTGCAGTCTTCCTGCCGTCTCGCCTTCCGTTCGTTCTCGGCGGCGGCTGCGCCAAGACTCCGGATTGGCACAGCTGGGTGCGCGCCAAAGTGGGCGGACCTGTTGCTAGTTGCTGCCGTGTAATCGGTGGGGGAAGCAGCTCATCCTTTGAAGTGCTCCGGAGACTGCGCTGCCAGAGACGCCGTACTCTACTCCCTTTTCGCCTGGCCAGGAGGGGCGGGTTGTGGCCGCCATGTTGGTGAAGGCAAACGCAGGCAACTGGAGCTCCAGGATGGTCGACTCTGCTCGCTCAAGCCCGCCATCTTAATAAAGCGAAGGCTGGGCTTCCCTGTACCTCCCACACCCCCTTGCCCCCACGATTCTGCTCGGTGGACCGTTACCCGCCTTCACTTGCCCAGCCTCTGCCCTCTGGAAGCATAGCCGCCATCGCCTCAGAACAGGCTAGCGACAACGCCGAATGAGGGGGACAGGGAAATGCCGACCAATTGCGCTGCGGCGGGCTGCGCTGCTACCTACAACAAGCACATTAACATCAGCTTCCACAGGTAACCTGGGCAGGGAATGGGGATGACGAAGACAGGAAGGAGCTCCTAGTCTGGGGATGACGTATGAAAGGAGCTGATGGAGTCCCCCTTTCTCCTGATAACTTCACTGCCCGGTTAGCAGCTGGGAAACCGTGTTTGCCCTTTCGGGGGTGTTTGTTTTGCATTATCTGTAAAATGTTTCTCTTCCTTCGGGGAAGATTTGTCCACGTTCTAAAAGAAATCCAAGCCGACACGGTGATTAACTCTTGAAGAAAAAATGACAAGAAGATACCATAATTTTCTGCTCTTTTACTCCTCCTTGATACAAAAGGCGCCATACGAGGAAGAGAGCTCTTCCTGATCAAGTCAGCAATCAAACAAACCTTGCCATGTACCACTAAGATTGGAAATCTTCTCCCTAGCTGCATTGATAACGGGATTTGTTGTAGTCCAGCAGTACCTCTGAGTTGGAATTGAGTCATCGCTGATAGTTATGGAATCAGCAATGTTAGTGAAAGTGCAACAAATAAGCCCTCCACTCTTATTAGGACAGTGTAGTTAAAAAGAACCTGACTTATTTCTTCTTCCTTTGCTACAAGAGCCATCAGAAATCCTTAATTCTCTCAATTGAGACCTTTTAAAACATTTTGAACATGATCTGGCATATTAGGTCCTCTGGCCATGTTTACCTTGTCTTCAGGTGCCTGCCATGGCCTGAAGAAAAGGTTTGGAGTTGTTTTTACATACCTCACAACATACATGATTTTAGAATGTAGAAATTACAGCTTCGACCTCTTTTCTACCTCATTAATATTAATGTATCCCTTATTAAAAGCTATGACTTGTGGGGGAGGGAAACTTTGTGATATTTGTTTTTCCACTCCTTCATACCAATGTAATGCTGCTTTCATTCATTCAGCAAATATGTACCCAGTTCCCAATTGCCTGACATTGTCCTTGAAATCCAGGAATCCAGAAAGTTCTGGCTCTCCCTAGAGTTGATGAGTATGGGAGAAAAGACAATATAAGACAAGAAACATTCAAGGAGACCCAGCTTACCCTTGGAAAGTCAAAAAAAACATTTCTCAAAGGATATACAATTTTGCAATAACAAATTCCATTCTCTAAGCTACTTTAAAACCCTTACGATTTACCAGAAGGGTACTTGAAACGTCAAAAAGTAATGAGAGTAGAGAGTAGTAGGATTAGAGTTGCATGGTAAAATGCCTGTGGCTCCAATGTGGTAAATTATAATAGAGTGCTTTATAGTGCTGGTCAGGCATTATCAGAAAATGAAGTTGATAAAAGAGTAGCTTACATAATGTTAATTACCCACTTTTCCTTCACAGAGTGAAGTCCCCTGAATGAAACAGGTTTACAAACAGGTCCTAGTTTTACATTCAGCAATTCATACCCATTCTTACTCATTTCATCCATTGCAACTTCATTGTACCATTGCATATCCCATTGCTTGCATGGGTGTCCTGTTTCCATTTCTCCTTTCCTAACCCTCTGAACTTTGTCCTAAGTAAGTGCTGCCCTTTTGGTCAATAGCTGACTAGTGTAATGCAGAGGTCAGTTCAGTTTTAGACCTAAAGGGTAAAGGCCATAGTCTTGGGATTCCCACCATTCTCTATGACCAGCAAGTTTGGTCTCTTGTGAGTTTGAGTTCTGTTCCATTCCACATTTTTCTCCCACACTCTCCAGGACCTTTTATTGGGATTCTTTTCAGAGCAGTTGGAAGTGGCAGTGAGGCACCATCAAGTTCTTCTGGGCTCCCCACTGTGAAGACAAATGTTTGAATGATCCATTAGCTCAATAATAACATTTTTAGTTTTAGACAAAACATAGATCAGGCTAGATATTCTGAGTCCTGGGTACCGGGGCAGACACACCCAAAATTGGCAAATTAAGCAAAAGGCTGGTGATTCATAATTCAAGCACTAGGTGTCAAAAGATGAAGAAACATGCAGGATTGAAAGAGGAAAATATTTTGTCATATCCATGTATATTGGTTGCAAACCACAGCCCGGAGAAAATTCTTTTCAACAAAGTACATGCTCACACAGATTACAAAATGGAGCATGATTATAAAATATCTGCTGCAGCTATGAGCGTCATGACCTGACCTAGTTGACACATAACTTTAACCATCACAGTCCACCTATTGTCATCTTGGCACCTGTGCACGTCTTGTTAGGTACCATGAGCTAGAAATCCTGTGTATAACAGAACAAAACACTACCCTGCCCTGCACCATCCTCAGAATTGTTCTTATGTTTGAGCCCATTGTTGTAGCTGCTGTGTCAACCGATCTTGTCTAGAGCCTTCTTTTTCACTATCCCTCTACTTTACCATGAGTGATGTCCTTCTCCAGGGACTGGTCTCCCCTGGCAACATGGGCAAACTACATGAGAGGAAGCCTCACCATCCTTGTTTCTAAGGAGGATTCTGGATGTACGCATCTCCTTAATCCATATATAATCTAAAGACAGTTTCAAAGTCATTCTTGAACCTAACATGGTATAACTAAAATGCATACAAACAAAAATATACTAGCCTGTTTACATTTATACTTTATAATACGTAATAGAATAAGGGAGAGAAAGCAGATATTTCAAAAAGGCATATAGATATCTACATACAGGTATAGCAAAACAGTCCTCATTGCGGTAACTGGTCACATGGTCATGGCTGGTATTTAGAACTACCTTGTTCACCACCTGTTCTATTCCATTTGCTCTCAATCAGTACCTCAGCTGGTTTTGGTTCTTTGCCTGGCACAGTGACCCATACTCTCATTCCTGAAGAGCTATGTCAGAAGTATTTTGCTGTAGTTATATGTCAACTTTAATTACAGAGTATGGTAGTATTAAGATCTCTTAAGGGTTCTCCTGTATTCTGGGCATGCTCTTGTTTGTGTCCATTGTTTAATACCAATCCTGATTCCCTCTTGGTAATTGGGACCAATTAAACCAGCCAATATGCCCATGCCCTTCTTTGCTTGTTGATCCAGATGCATGAGTAATTCCAAGCGGCTTTCCAGATAAATGCAGTCAGTGTTGTCTCCAGGTAGGAATATCCCTCCCTTTGGAATTAAGACCATACCCACATAGCATAGAGTCTTGAAGACTGGCAGCAAATATTTAGCAAATAGGTCACTAGGTATAATAGTGAGTGGTACCCCTCCCATTTCTGCTTCTTGATTCCTGGACCCATGAATCTTGGCTATGGAAGAAGCAGCACCATATATTGTTCCTGAATTTAGATCATCTACACCATCTTGGAGAGCATCACTCCAACCCTGCGATATCTTGCCACCAAGCTGGTGCCACAATTATGTCTTTAGAAGGTCACACCATTGTTCTATCAAGCAAGCCAGCTGGTTCTGGATGATGGGAAACATTGTAAAACTAGTGAATTCCATGAACATGGGCTCATTGCAGCACTTAATTTGTCGCGAAGTTCTTTTCATCCTAGGCAGTCCTATATGAGGTACCATGAGGTTTTTCTGGAAATCCATGGCTTGTGGTTTTGGCAGTAACACTGTTTGGAGACAAATCTGTAACCAGGGTCCATTCCAGTAAGAACAAAATGTTGCCTTTTCCATCATGAAAATGGTGCAATGTAATTAACCTGTCATCAAGTTGCTGGCAGATCACTCCTAGGAAGAGTGCCCTATCTGGGACTCACTGTTATTCTGCTGCTGGCAGATTGGGCACTCAGAAGTGGTTGTAACCAAATTGACCTTAAGTTGCCAATATATCACATAATCTCCATCCCTTCCATTATGCCTACTTTATTCATGAGTCCACCAGACAATAAAAGATAACTGGTCTATAAACTGGCTCAAGTCAGGGACTGAGCAGCTGTGAATTTTCTGGTGATTTGAAAGAGAGTACTTCCCACTTGACCTTGAATTCTTATGCTTGTGCAGATAAAGTAAATATTTAGTGGATTTCTTCTAGTAATACCATGACTAAGTAGCCAGTACCACAAAGCCATGAAGTGAGACTATTCTGGTTACTACTTTCATCATTATGATAGCTGTGCCCACTTTTCACACAAACACACACACACACACACACCACCCACCCACACACCCTCCTATCAATTAAGAGCTAGCATTTGGCTCCTACCACCCCAAGGTCCAATCATTTCCTTTGTAGTTAGGTATCTTAAATTCAGTTAAAGCAGTTCCCACTCTCGAATCCAACTTATATAAAATAGTAGTCAAAGCAACCTTTAAAGCTGATACTAAGGGCTCAAGTAGAAAGCCAATGTTTTGAGAATGTTGATGGCAACAAATATAGAAATATGTTTGACACAATGGATGTGTGTATGTATTGTGATAAGAGTTGTACAAGCCCCCAGTAAAATGATTAAAAAAAACCTTTAAGTATATTGACACTTCTAACCCAAATTTGATGCTCAGCATTGTGTAATGTGCCCTCAGCACCCATGGGTGGGTTTGTGGGTCCAACCTCATTAAAATGGCAGCTTCCCTAAGCCTTTAGATACCTTCTACAGCAGGCCATTGTATAACCCATGCTTCTTTGAATCAACGAAATACAAATACAGTAAGTCCCCCAGTTAGGAATATTTGACTTATAACAACTACTCCCCCTCAAAAAAATTTTTTTAATAAATACTTTTATTGGGACTCAATCCAAATATCAAACAATTCAATAGTTCAATTATATCAGAAAGAGTTTTACAATCATTTTTAGTGCATTTTCTGTTTTCTTGTACTTGTTATTAGCTCCCCATTTCCCACCAACCTCCCCTGCTGTACCCCTAACACTATTTTCTCTATAGATGTACCCACCCTGGATACCATATACCGAAAATCACAGAAGCAAACAAAAAAAAAAGTCAAAAAAGCTAACAAGATCATGTTAAAATTAGAGGAAAAAGAATAGAGAAAAGCTCAAGTTGAAAAGAAAAGAAAATATTGAAAACTAGAACACTTTTCAAATGGATCAAAATAGATTAAATGATAAGGTGTTAGATTTTAACTACATCTGCTATGGTTCACTTTAAAAAAAAATCATTTTGTGGTCTTTTATAGGTCTTATAACATTCTATACATCGATTGTATCGAGCCTGTTTCCTAAAAAAAAAGTTTTATCTCAATCACCTTTACATGCTATACATCCAGCTTTTAAATCATTTAAAAAATGTAAACTCTTTCTTGCCCTAAAGTAAAGCTAAATAAAAGTGAGTGTACCTCTCCACTACTGAAAGACATAGAAGCAGATCTCATTTGTAACTTGGGGACTGCCTGCTAACATTAGATGCTTTACTAACCTCTGGAGTGATAACACTGAAGAATCTGTGCCCAGTAGGCCCATATCAATAAACTCAGATTGGTCCAACTTTATAGCACTATTCTACATTCTTCATAGTCATTCCTACATATGCCCCAAATTTCTGTTTGTGTAAGAAAAATCATCCTGTTCTTTTGGAGTGTAATGTACCTCTGTTTGGGTCAGACTTGGTGTTTCATCTCTTGGGGCTTACTGGGACTAGGTATAAATCTGGAAGCAAAAATAGGTGGTGGGGGTGGACCTTGAGGACATTCCAAAATGCCTTGAAGGGCATCTGCCTGTGTGATGTTTGATGGAATGTCTCAGACAAAAACTCTTCAGACACACTTGGATTAATCTCATCAGATATGGGTGGATAGGATGATGCTTTTACTAGGAAGGATGGCATAGAAGACAAAGGTGCTGTGATTTCATTGGATGAAAGAACTAGAGGGCTTCAAACAGGTTCGTTCTTATTTAACCTAGCTATTCTGATTTAAAACTTCTGAAAATACAATTTCAGATTCCGTATATCTCGGATAGAAATTCAACTTCTCAGCAGGGGGTTAAATCCTTTCACCATCATAAAGGGTTGGCTCTGTTGGCTGGAGTGATTCAACAGAATTTATGGACTCAGTCCCCAGCTTCCTGACTATTTGCCCATATATCCCCACCCCAAGTATCAGAATCCTATTTCTCCCTAATCAATGCCCTTACTTTAAGTTCAGGTGCCATTTGAGGTTGGGAAATCAGTTAGCAGTATAATTGTGTTACTTGTATGATTAGACTCTATTTCGTTTTCAGTAATACCAACTTTGTCAGCATAAGAAACAAAGGCTTTTTTTTTCTGGTATAAGTGATAGCTTTCAAGTGTTGTATGTGGCACTTGATCTGTGATTCTGAACCTTAAAGCTTATCCCTTTTAACACTTTGTCTAATGAAAGTAGGACATACCAACTACCCTCCTTATATTTCTCATTCTGACAAAATTGTAGAAAAGTAGTAACGATGAAATCATCCAGAGCCTTGTCACTCACACATTTGATCTGTTGATGGTAATATTTTACATATTTCTATTGCCAACTCATGCCATTGCTTATCAATGCACTTTTTAATATTGATGAGCCCTCGTGGCACTGTGGGATAAGTATAGCACTGCCAATCCCAAGGTCGGTGGTTCAAACTCACCAGCTGCTCCATGAGAAAAGGAGGAAGCTGTCTGCTCCTGTAAAGATTTACCATCTGTAAGAAACCCTACATAGGATCATTCTGAGTTGAGATCTACTTGGGTTTAGTTTTTTTGGTATAATCATTAGCACCTTTAAACACTAGTCAAAGACCAGAACCAGTTTAGAACATTTATCCTTATGAGCAGTTTCACTAGAATCACTCTTAGTTCCCATTCTTCGGCTGGGTTCTCTAGAGGAGCAAAACCAGTGAAGCATCACTCAAGAGATACTCATTGCAGAGAAATAACTCATAGAGATATGGAAATGTCAAGCTGCACAGCCATGGCTCAGGCATCAGGCTGGAGGCGTCTCCTGGCTCACGTGGTTGCAGGGACTGACTGACAAACCCAACATCAGCAGGTCAGGTAGAAGTCTGCTGACTTACATCCCAAGAACCAGGTGTCAGAGGATGATGAGTTTCGTATGGGATCAAGAGATGGCGAGCTTTCCTGCAACATACCATGTATACTTGAATATAAGCCAAGTTTTTCAGCACAATTTTAATGCTGGGTTTTTTTTACATCATTTTCTTGGGGGCTCATACAATTCTTATCACAATCCATACATACATCCATTGTATCAAGCACATTTGTACATTTGTTGCCATCATCATTCTCAAAACATTTGCTTTCTACTTGAGCCCTTAATGTAAGCTAATTTCCCCCCTCCCTCTCCGCTCCCCCTTTCCTCATGAACCCTTGATAATTTATGTTATTATTATTTTGACATATCTTGCACTGTCTGACGTCTCCCTTCACCCACTTTTCTGTTGTCCATCTCCCAGGGAGGAGGTTATATGTAGATTCTTGTAATGGGTTCCCCCTTTCTACCCCACCTTCCCTCCACCCTCCAGGTATCGTCACTCTCACCACTGGTCCTAAAGGGGTCTTCTGTCCTGGATCCCCTGTATTTCCAGTTCCTATCTGTATCAATGTACATCCTCTGGTCTAGCCAGATTTGTAAGGTAGAATTGGGATCATGATAGCGGGGAGAGGAAGCATTTAAGAACTAGAGGAAAGTTGTATGTTTCATTGTTGCTACCCTGCACCCTGATTGGCTCGTCTCCTCCTCGCGACCCTTCAATAAGGGGGTGTCCAGTTGCCTACAGATGGGCTTTGGGTCTCCACTCTGCACTCACCCTCATTCACAATGATATATTTAATGCAGCTTATGTGGTAAAATTAGGTGCCTCAGCTTATACTGGAGTATATATAGTACATACATGGATACAGACTATACTTCCAAGGAAACTCCTCTTTTAACTCATTGGCTGTTTGTATCAGATCATAAAATGGAAGATGGTTACATAGTTTCTGTCAAATAGTAGAATCATGGCCTGACCTTGTTGACATACAACCTTAACAAAATCACAGGTGGTAAGAATTGTTAGAGGAAAGCTCTTGAGAAAACTGTGGTAATACAAAGGAGAGTTCACCCAATGGCTTAGCCTAAAGTGGTATTAACAATAGGTTTAAAAAAACGGTAACCATATTTGGGTAATATTTTGGGGGGTGGGGGATTACTGAAATTGTTAGTTTGGGAGAGGAGAGCGGAGGAGTTAAGATTCAAATCGCATAAAATGTTTATGAAAAGTATGGAGGTACAAAACCTATGTATTTTCAGTATCTTGGCTACTCACCTACTATGAAATTAACATTTTTACGTTTAACCCCAGAAATGTAGCTGTTAAGTAACATCCCATATATACTCGAGTGTAAGCCAACCCGAATATCAGCCAAGGTACCTAATTTTACCACAAAAATTGCATTAAAAATATGCTGAAAAACTCGGCTTATACACAACTATATATGGTAATAAAAATTCATTCTTATTTCATGAATAAAATTGTCCAGATTCACCCATTTTTATGAGGTGGTTTTGAGATTCATCATTATTCAGTAATTCTGCATAGTATGCTATTATTTACACATACCAAAGTTTATCCAGTCTTCCATTGATGGGCATTTAAGATGTTTGTTTGCTATTGTGAATAGTGTTATAATGAATATGGGCATGCATGTATCTATGTGTGTCATGGCTCTTATTTCTCTAGGATATATGCCAAATAGAGGGATAGCTGGGTCATAAAGTATTTCTGTTAATCCATTTACATTAAGTATACTTAAATAAGTATGAATTTATTGCTATCAATTTGCTGTGTGTTTGATAGTTGGAATTTGAAGTCCTCTCTCTCTTTTTTGAAAAAAAGGTTTCCTTTGGATCCTAAAAGAAGAAAAGAATGGGTTCGCCTGGTTAGGCGCAAAAATTTTGTGCCAGGAAAACATACTTTTCTTTGTTCAAAACATTTTGAAGCCTCCTGTTTTGACCTAACAGGACAAACTCGACGACTTAAAATGGATGCTGTTCCAACCATTTTTGATTTTTGTACCCATATAAAGTCTATGGTAGGTAATACTGCTTTCCTGTTCTACTATTTTTTACCATTTGAGGGCTCATTATTTTTTGTTGATAAACTGGAACCATTCAACCATTCAGAATAGATTAAATTCTATGATCATATGCTTCCAAGAAAGTTGCAAATCTTCCTCTTATGCCTTAAAGGTGTAGGCTAGAATTAGAATTCTGTTTTTCGTACCCCAATCAAAATAGTTTTTATTATAATGGAATTTTACATTATTACCAGTTATCAATAATTAAATCTTTGGTAAACTGAGAGATCATCTGAGTGATGAAACCTCCAACATCATTTTGCTTTGATTTTAAGATGATGTATAACTGACACATGCAAAGTACTTTAAGGAACAGCACACTCAAACTAACACCGTAGAGTATAAATTCCGAGGAAACTGAAAGCTTCATGGAACTCAGTCATTTAAGCTGGGCTTAAGGAATTACAGTTTGGGATTTAAGGGGGCCTTCTTGACCTTGCACAGAATAAATGCCAGTAGCATAGTGAGAACAAAAGACAGCAAGTGATCTTTAAAAGGAGAGAACTAAAGTACAGGATAAATGAACATGTTTTATCTAGTTATGGAAGAATAGCTAGCTGAAATAACCAAAAATAGAAGGCTTAGCTTCAAAGTGGAAGACAAACATACTCTCCTTCAGTAGAGGAGAAACCACTGCTTTTCTTGTGTTACTTAAGATAGTTCATTTGTAAATGCATATGAGTTCATTTCTAGGATAGGAGGTTCTGATGAACTATCTCAGATACTGGAAAAGCTCCAGAAGGACACGAACTTGGTCTTGATCACTTGTGAATCTTTAGCATGTGCTTGGTACATAATTCATGTATTGAATTTGAGTGTACCTTGCTTTTACCTCTTTATTCATTTATTACTTGAGTAAAAATTGAGGGTGCTTCCAAAAGTTAGTGGAAAAATGAAATTAAAAGATAATAGAATTTTTCTACAAACGTTTTGAAGTCCTGTCATACTTACTAAACTGTAATTATGTCAGAATCTAACATAATGGTAGCATATAAGGATAAAGTTCTTGCCATAAAGAAGCTTACAGTCTTGTAAGAAGTCATGAAAAATAATTCCCAAGGAAAACAGAACAGTAACTCTAGGTTTCATAAGAACAGAAATCATATTTGCCTTATTCACTTTTGGATCCCTAGGAATTCATAATATATACATACCAATAATTATTGAGTGAATAGAAGCCACATATTATAAAGATGACATATTCTCGAATGGGTTAGTATTGCTAGAATGTACATCAAAAAACAAATAGCAGAATGTGGTCAGATCCTAAATGGTAAAGTATGCCATCTAGAATTTTTTTCTCTCCCGTTAGATCATAAAAAGGAATTTAGCCAATATACAAATGTCAAGTCTGTTAGAATAATTTATTCTGGTGACAGGAGATAGATTGAAGTGGAGAGATCAATGAAGAAGTTTTTTAATATTCAGACCAGAGATGTTATGGGCCTGAATTGGGCAATGGCATTACGAATGATGGGGAGAGAATTTATAACAGATATTTAAGATGTAGAATAAATAGGACCTGATGATAATGAATGAAAGAGATAAGGAAAAGAGGGGTCTTATGATTTCTGATATGCCAAAAACTTCCTCACTCACTGCTATCGAGTCAATGCTGACCCCTGTGAGTTTCAGAATGACCAGTCTTTCTCACATAGAGCTGCTAGTGGTTTTGAACTGTCAACCATGTGGATCACAGCCCAACATGTAACCACTACACCACCTAGCCAGGCTTTATATACTATGTAACTGTGAACAAATAATAGGTATGGTAAGTATTTTTACAAGTTTGATAATTGAGCATATGTTTCTTTTGATCCTTTGTTATAAAGTACAGACCAGGGTCTGAATAAGAAATCGAGACAATAGTATTTACCTGGAAAAGAGATCTTCAACTCAGTTTCACAAATAAACAAAATCCTTAAATAGATTCGTAACTGACCTCAGTAAGAAAATTGCATAGTATTTTTAAAGTCTCCATAGATTCATACTTAGCAATTTGTAAGTCCATTGTCTATTTCCAAACCAGTGTGTGACTGTCCTAGGCAGAGAACAAAAAGAAGAGAGTGGCTGGAATTGACCAAACCAGTTCAGACATTTAATCCATAGTTACATGACATGGGCTGTTGATGTTTCCAGTCAATTTTAAAATTAGTTATTAAAAGAGCAGTTTAAATACTATTAAAATGACAAAATTACTCTGACTTGTGATATTCCATAATTTATATTTAATCCTCTAACTTTATTTGATTCAGAAACTCAAGTCAAGGAATCTTTTGGAAAAAAACAGTTGTACTCCAGCAGGACCATCTAAATCAAGCTTTAGTAGTCAGCAAGTACTGCTTGAACACAGTTATGCCTTTAGAAATCCTATGGAGGCAAAAAAGAGAATAATTAAACTGGAAAAGGAAATAGCAAGCTTAAAAAGAAAAATGAAAACTTGCCTACAGAAAGAACGCAGAGCAACTAGAAGATGGATCAAAGCCACGTGCTTGGTGAAGAATTTAGAAGCAAATAACATTTTACCTAAGGGCACTTCAGAACACATTTTACCAACTGTCTTAAGCAACCTTCCTTTGGAAAATTTCAAAATTCTTGAGCAAGATAAAGCATTATCAGTTCTCTAAACCTAAAACAGACCAAGAGTTTAGCTTGAGCAGAACAGCATACTCACCCTTCATTCCATGCAGAGGTAAAGATATTTACATAATTATCCCAAAAGTGAGTATTTAATAAAGATTTACTTGAAGTAACATTATAACTGTATAATTTAAGAAGACTTGATGACACAAAAAGGACAACTTTTTATGAAACTTTATTTACGGTAAATGGAAGTGCCTTATGTGAGAGTTGCTGACCTAAAATTTGTCACAGAGTTGTATGTTGTGAGGTGTTTTGTTCTTTTCAAATTTCTTTTAAAAAACCGTCTATGATAAATAACATGTCTAATTTATATTAGGAAAAATTTTTTCCTGTACCAAAGTTGAGATATCTCATTCTAAATAATCTGCTACTAAGTAGGAATTAGCTGACATTCAACACAACCTTAGAAAATAGAGAGGTTTTATATTAAATTATTGGCACTGTGATTTGGAGACTTTATAGGAAAAAAATCTGGGGACAGGACAAGTTCTTTTAAGTTTTTGTCTTTTTATTAATAAAAGTGAGCTAATCATGATGTCCTCATAAGATTTTAAGTCAGGTTACAAAATATTATGAAAATATTTTTTAACATGAATTACCTTCATGTCAGCAAAACTAGGTAAGACCTCACGTACCTCAGATTAGTAATAACTGGTAGCTGATTACATTCATCTTAAAAATATATGGTGGAATAGTGCAAATTTCACCTTAATTAATAGACAAATGTATTATTTTTCTCATAAAAAAGTATTAAATTTCCCAACTTCAAAATTGATACAATAAGCAAACATGTTAAAACAAATTTCATGTGGGCCTGCTTCTCTGTGTCCCCATGTGTCTTGATACCAAACCCTTAAAGCCTTTTTTTTTTTTTTTTTTTTCATAAACCCTCAGTAGAATTTAATCTGAGAAAAGTAATGACCACATTATAATGTGGTGATAATTTATAACTTAAAATATAATCAGGTGGAGGATCAGCTTGCTTTATATGTCCGTTTCTTAGTGAGCGTCCAACAGGTCAATACCATAGTATGTAAGGAAGGAAAGAGGTAGTCATCTGTAAAAGTACATTGTCTCTGAGATGAAGCTATGCAAATCCTAACCTTATTTTCCAAAATAAAAGTGTCTGAATATTTTTACAGTTCCCACTTGAAAAATTAAAGTTTTCCTTATTTCACTGAAGGTTTAATTAGAACCCTTTCCCTCAAACAGCTTTGATCAAATCATTTAAACTTATACTATTATACATAATCAAGTTATTTACTCCTAATTCAACTTTCTGGCACTATTATACGAAAGTAGCATAAACCCAATCATAAATAGCTGTAAATCTTTCCTATAAGGTAATGTCTATTTTTTTTTAATTGCCAGCTGTTTACTTTTTCCTACTTTTTAAAATAACATTTGCTTGGATCTTTGGAACAATCTTTTTATAGTATTTGCACCCTTTCTTTTAATAAAGATTGTCTGTTAAGCAACTAGATTTCTCTAATGCCAAGTAAGAAAAAGCTTGTGTTAGTTTTCATCATCAGGCACTTATGACAAATATTTATGAAAGCCTTTTGAATTATATGCCTGGTTAGTCTTCTTATCCTAAGAATTGGATGTAGCTCCTTGGAATAGTCATTACATATTTTGTGTAAATATATTTTCCCCAATATATAATCATTAGTAAATATCTATTTTATAACCTCAGGATAAATTGGGCAGATAATAATTTAAACAAAACAATGTCTTTCAAATACAGACTCATGTTCACCCCTTAAATAGAAAACAAAAGACAATGGAGCCAGGTTAGTTCTTTTTTTTTTTTTTAATAATTTTATTGGGAGCTGGTACAACTCTCATCACAATCCATACATCCATCCATTGTGTCAGGCACATTTGTACTTTTGTTGCCATCATCATTCTCAAAACATTTGCTTTCTACTTGAGCCCTTAGTATCAGTGCCTCATTTTTCCCCTCCCTGCCTGCTGTCCCCTCCCTCATGAACCCTGGATAATTTGTAAATTATTAATATTTTGTCATATCTTACACTGTCCAATGTCTTCTTTCACCTACTTTTCTGTTGTCTGTCCCCCAGGGATGCGGTTACATGTAGGTCCTTGTAATTGGGTTCCCCTTTCTACCCAACCTTCCCTCACCCTCCCAGTATCACCACTCTCACCACTGGTCCTGAAGGGATCTTCTGCCCTGGATTCCCTGTTTCCAGTTCCTATCTGTACCAGTGTACATCCTCTGGTCTATCTGGCTTTGTAAGGTAGAATTGGGCTCATGATAGGGGGGGGGGCCCATTTAGAAACTAGAGAAAAGTTGTATGTTTCATCGTTCCTACACGGCACTCTGACTGGCTTATCTCCTCCCCACGACCCTTCTGTGAGGGAATGTCCAGGTGCCTACAGATGGGCTTTGGGTCTCCACTTCACACTCCCCCTCTTTCACAATGATTTGATTTTTTTGTTCTTTGATGCCTGATACCTGATCCCATCGACACCTTGTGATCACACAGGCTGGTGTGCTTCTTCTCTGTGGGCTTTGTTGCTTCTGAGCTACATGGCCACGTGTTTACCATAAAAACTTCAAGCCTTTAAGACCCCAGACACTATATCTTTTGAAAGCCGGGCACCATCAGCTTTCTTCACTACATTTGCTTATGTACCCTCTTTGTCTTCAGGATTGTGTTGGGAAGGTGAGCATCATAGAATGCCAGTTTAATAGAACAAAGTGTTCTTGCATTGAGGGAGTACGTGAGTAGAGGCCCAATGTCCATCTGCTACCTTAATACTAAACCTATCAATACATGCACATAGATCGATTTCCCCGTCAACATATATAAATATATTTACATATGGACATGCCTGTATTTAGACCTCTATACATGCCTTTTGCCTCCCAGTTCTTTCCTCTGTTTCCTTTTACTTTCCTCTTGTCCCACCATCATGCTCAGCCTTCATTTGGGTTTTAGTAATTCCTCTCGGTTACATTGCCCTTGATCAAGCCCTACCAGGTCTCAAGAACAAGACAACAAAACAAAACAAAAAAGACAAAAAAAGAAAAGCCTGTAAATAGTTGAAGATCTATTTGTTGACTTTTAGGAATGTTTTCCTGTGGAGTTGATGGGGTGCTACACCCTGGCCCCAAAGTCTATTTTTGTAATTCCCTCAGGACTTCCTTGCTGTGCTCCCCTTGCTGTTCTGTTGCACACCCTTAGTGTTTTGCCTTGGTGTGGTGGGGTCAGATCGGGCGCAATTCGCCAGTTTGGTTCTTATCTATAACATCTAAACAGTTAAAATTTTAAAAAATTATGATAAAGTTTTGACAAAGTTAGTCTTCATTCTTTATTATTTGACCCAATTGAATAAACTACCATATATTAATATCCAAGTAGATTTATCTTTTGTTTTTACCATGTCATTTAACCAGCTTCTACATTAGAAAGCTGCAGTAAATTCGACGGGAAATTCCATTTTCCTTCAGTTCCATTTTTCCATGACCTCTTTGAAACCCCCTCCCCCAATAGAAAAATTCTGATCAAAGGAGGAAATATGTAGAATTCAACTCTCATGTACTTCATGCTTTCTAGGGCCGTCTCCATCTCATTGTCATGTTACTGTCCCAATAACGCGCTCCATTCCATGCATCAAATTGTTTTATTAGCATGTCCACCTTAAAAACTACTTTATAGGGAGAAAAGGAAACTTTTCAAAGCCTGTTTTCAGTTTCTTCTGTTATCACTTTGATCCTTTTTTTTTCTTCTTTTTTTTTTTTTTCTTTTTTAACATTTTATTAGGGGCTCACACAACTGTTATCCACTTTGATCTTATGCCATAAAACAAATCAAAATTATCATTCTTTGTCCTCTGTTGGACACAAGACAAATGATGTATCCATTCACTCATTCAATTAAACACCAGACACTAGAGGAACTAACCTCTACAAAGAACCAGCCAAAGATTAATATGATGTAATTTTTTTGCCCTCAAGTTCCTTGAAGTCTCCTGAGAGAAATATTATTTACAATGCAATGTGATAAATGCTGTAAGAAATATGTACCAGGTGCTTTGGTAAATGCTGTTGAATTGAAAACAAGAATTCAATTGTAGATTTTTGTATAATTCAGGACCTTTTTATGTGTGTGGAAACAAATGTCTTCTTGCATTGACTTAGCTAAAGGAAGTGAAGGACACTGGTGTTGATATAGACAGTTGTGGTAATTTTTACTCCGTTGTAGGACATTTTTATCCTTTAAAAGAAACACTGAGTAGATTAGCTGTTAATTGTGCTTTTGTTAAGAGGAAAACAACTGTAAATAACTACATCAAAGCCAAATGCTGGAAGTTTATATGAAATTTGATATTTTGTACAAATTAACAAACCCTGTTAACAGACTTTTAAGACTCTGATTCATTTAGAGCAGCGGTTCGTCCGATTCATAACAGTAGCATAATTACAGTAGCAACGAAAATAATGTTATGATTGGGCGTTCACCAGAACATGAGGAACTGCATCAAAGCTCAGCGTTAGAAAGGTTGAGAACCACTGATTTAGAGTCTTGAAGTTAACAAAGCACTTCAACATCCACTTATTCTTATTTATTCCTTACAAACATGCTCGGTGGTCGATGGGGTTATCTCTGATTAACAGATGAAAACATGTTAATGTAATTTACTTATTTGTTCCAACATTTTCTATGTGCCAACTAAAAAGTTCCAGATTGAACCACGTCTTTTTGCCCCGAAATCCCATTCTCCATCTTCCACATTATAATCCTGTTTAACACTTAAATTACATTGCTAAAACAGGACAAATTGTATGTCTTAAAAATAAAATATACATGTTTATATACACACACACACACACACACACACACACACACGCACACACATATATATCTCAGACAGCCGATGAGGGAATTGTTGATCTTTTCAAGGTAAACTACAATATTGCTGTTCATTTCTCATGTTTAGAATACGGGTAAATTTTAATTTTGGTATTGAAAATTATTTATCTTTATGCCAGAATGTGGGATTCTTTTGATATTTAGCAGTTGGACACTTTCTGAAGTTAATACTTTTGTAATGCATATCAAACACTTGTATATTCTGCTCATAAAAGCGTATTCTCAGTGTGATTATATTAAAACTTTTTCAAGGATATTATTATAGTGCCTTTATTTCCAAAACCTTATGTGAACATTTATGGGGAAGTTCTTCTAAACTAATCCCCTAAAAGACGTCTGCAGAAGCTCTGTCCCTAAAGTGAAACAAACTGTAAACCAAATAAAGACATATTAAGCCTTGAAGAGGAATTGTTTTCATTTTTTCTATTGAAGTTATATCCAGACATACAGTAAGGGTTATTTGTACTGTTTTAAATGCCATTTTTGCAATCTGGACAAGGGAAACGCAAAGCCATATAAATTATCCTAGGAATCTATTCTGACTTTTGACTCAAAAGATTGATTGCAGATGATTATCAAGATGTGATTTTTTAAATTAAAATATTTTATTGGGGATGCTTAGAACTCATGACAAGCCATATATCAACTTTATCAAGCACATTTGTACTTATGTTGCCATCACTCTTCTAGATATTCACTCTCTATTGAGCCCTTAGTATCATCTCCTCTTTTATGCCCCTACCCCAGCCTCCTGACCCCTTGATAAATTATAAATTATTTTCATATCTTACACTGACTGCTGCCTCCCTTCACCCATGGTTTCTGTTGTTCATCCCCCTGGAGTGTTTGTGTGTCTTGGGGAGTAGGGGGGTATGTTATGTATTGATCATTGCAATTTCCTTCCCTCGGTATTGTTATTCCTGTTCCTGGATTCCGTGTGTCGTGAGCTCTTATTTCTTATCTGTACCTGTGCACATGCTCTGGTCTAACCCACAGTGAAAACAGTACTGGGGTCATGATAATGGGGGGTGAGGAAGCCTGAAGGAACCAGAGGAATATTGGGTGTTTCATCGGTGCTATACTTCATCCTGGTTGACTCATCCCTTCCCTGTGACCCCTCTGAGGGTATGTCCCATCATCTACAGTTTGGCTTTGGTTCTCTGCTCTGTCCCCCCTCATTCTCAGTATGTGGTTTTTATTGTTTGTTTCTTTGTTTTTTATGGGTCTTCTGATGCCCATTACCCAGACCCATTGACACCTCATGATCACACAGGCTGGTGTGCTTCCATGTGGGTTTGTTGCTTCTCTGCTGGATGGCTGCTTATTTAACTTCAATCCTTTAAGACCCCAGACATTATATCTTTTGATAGCTGGGCATCATCCACTTTCTGCACCACATTTGCTATGCACCCATTTTGCTTCGGCGATTGTGTCAGGAGGAGGGTGAGCATCACAGAATGCCAGGTTGTTAGGACAAAGTGTTCTTGCAATGAGGGAGGGTATGAGCAGAGGCCAGAAGTCCATCCACTACCTCAGTGTATTGACATAAATATATGTACATAGGCCAATACCTCTTTTTATGAATTGATATAATTACATATGTACACACCTATGTTTATACCTCTATCCATAGCTTTACTTCCTAGATCTTTCCTGTTTCTTTTTACCTTCCTCCTGCCCGACCATCATGCTTGCCCTACTTCTGCCTCTTAGTAATTCCTCTCAACTAGGTTGCTGTTGCTCCAACACCCCCAGGATGTCTACATCCTCCTTGTTGATTTTAATTCCCTAGTTGTTCCCCTCTCTGGTGTTTGCTCACCACTCCCTTTCCCCACCTCCCTTCCCCGTCCCCTTTTCTCCCAAAGTCCCTCTGGGACCATTGATCCCATTCCTTTCTCCTAGACCTTGCTTCCCATGCCTATCTTATATAAGTAGGCAAACCAACAATAACACAGACCAAACAAAAGATTGAAAAAGAGAAAACATACATAATTTCAGGTCTGTCGCTGACCTTTATGCTTATCTCCACACTGGTGCTGGGGGAATCCCAGGAGCTTCCCCTCCTAGCCTGGAGTCTATTTGGGGGGCTCTTGGCTTTGCTCCCGTTGCTGATCTGTTTTGTTCCCTTCTTGGTTCTCACCACTATGGGGGAAGATATTTTTAATAAGTTATTGCAGTGGTTTGATTAAGTTATATTTCACCTTCTCAAAAATGCTTTGCAGCTATTGACATTGCTGGTTTTATAGAGCATATAACGAGGTTTCATATTTAGAAATGCACCTAAAATCGCATACAGTATGATTCAAATTTGGGCTTGTAGTGGGGAAAATAATTAGGAAATAGGACAAAAGTACATTTTTCTTACTAATTTATGATGACTGTTTTTAATACTTTAATTCAAAAATTACTGTTTTAACATTTAAGAGACGTTGAGAAAATAAGATGACATAGTCCCTGGCCTCAAAGCTATTACAGTAATCCATTTTACTTTATTTTCATCCTCGCTGTTCCTTTTCTTTTTTTTAAAGAATGAGTTGAGACTAATGCATCAAATTGCTACCTAGCCTTTTACAATTGGTGTGCCAAAGTTAAAAAAAAATCAGGAAGGCAGATATCTATCCTCCTCAATGAATTTTCAGTTAAACTTAGCACATATTCCAAACTTGCTATCTCTCAGCCTTCTCCAGTCTTCCAACTTCCTATTTCTATGCTTTTCTTAAGCACCCAACTTTAAAATGTCCTTCTATAAGTATTCTTTACAAATGGTCGCTTGCAAACTCCCCTCATTTCTGAAGTGTCAGCTCAGGTGCATCTTCAGCTGAGGGCCTCTTCTGGTGTGTAACACCTTCCCTAAGTATACCAAAGTAACAGGTGTTTTCTCCCTTCGTTCCTGCTTCACACATACCTGTTTTCATTTTATATTTACCTTCAAGATAGGCTTTTTTTTTCTTTTGGGGGTTTTATGATACATGTCTATGAGGCACTCAAATATTTTTGAATTAATGACTTCATCTCAATTTCAAATTCTGAAACAATTGGCATAGGATGCACTGAGAAGTGTCTGACAAGCAGTAAATGCTTTATAGCATGGGGTGACTGGTGTACATTATTAATGCAACAATGAACTAAACAGCTAGGAACTCCCAAACTGTCCCTGTCCTAACACAACTAGCTTGGCGGTGATAGGGGATGGCCAGTGTCTGTTGGATATAAAAATATCATAGAAAACCAATATCAGGCTTCAGCCTGTGGTAATGGAGAACAAAGTATGACCACTTTGCAATTGTGTCTAAGCATCTAAGCGGAGATAAAAATGAAAGTATTATGAAAAACTACAAAAATTAGCTTTATTAATAAATCTATTTGGTAATACCCTTATCTAAATTGGCCAATATTTTCAAGTAATCTATCTGTATAGAACATATTGCAACAAGAATAATCCGTTCCCCTCATTGAGTAGATTTTGATTGTAGCAACTTTGTAGGACAGAGTAGAGCTCCCTAGGGTTTACAAAATCAAATCTTTCTTGCTGAGCCGCTGATTCAAACTATTAAGTGTGGGGTTAACAGCCCAATGCTTAACCTAGTGTGCTACCAGGACACAAGCAATTTCTGCATAAAGAACATATATGCTTATAAGAAAGACAACTAGTTACTCCCACTTCAGTTAACTAGTTAATTGACACCTTACCAAAGGAAAAGTTCATCTGTATGCATTTTGAAATTTAAAACGAGTGCTAATATTTCCCTTAGTTGCTTAAATCAGATTTGGATAATACAGGTAAAACTGACATGCTTCCTTTTTTTTCGTGGTCAGCAATTAACGGGAAAATTTAATAAAATATTAATTATGGTAGTTCTGCTAACTCAAGTAATTAAAAATTTCAAATAGACAACTACAAGACAAATTTTTAATGCTAATAGGGCTTCTACTTTTTTAATGAATGGATGAGGCCACATTTTAAAATAGCTGAGGTGTGGAACAGTGTTTTCATGACTAAACTGTCATGGCAGGAAGTTGAGAGTTAAGGAGCAACTATGTCTAGTTTTATTGGTTAATCTTCAGTAGCCAGCAAAGTCTCACATTATGTGTACTAAACGATATTAAATGATTTTTCTAAATCAGGTTTTACAGCACAATTACTCCTCCCTCCCCACGTAAGACAATAGATTTAAAAGTATTCGAGGATCATGAATGAAATGGATTTACTGGGTCTAAATTCACTAGTACTTTATTCTATTAGCATCCTGGGAGCTGTTTCTTTTATTGAGCTTAAACTATCCGTGGTCTTTATTATGAGAATCCTTACCAATCCCGCCCATCCGCGCTCCCCGCAGCCTCCTGCAGCGGCCCGTCCCCGCTCACGTGAGCCGAGCCGCGAAGTGGCCGGTTCCCGCGCATGCGCGCAAGAGGCGCGGGGCGGAGCCGAGGAACGGCGTGGGCTGAGCCCCAGCCGCAGGGTTTCGGGGCAGCCGGGTTGTTCTCGACATCAGTCTTTCCAGGTTCGGGCCTTTAACCGTGCCTTTTTTGCTGCCAAGGACTCTTCACAGTCCGAGAGGGAGGGCTCGGTACCTTAGTGCCCACAGACGCCTGGCCAGCGGGTTAGCTGATTCCTGCCTCCCTTTTTACCTTCTGGCCTTTGAGTTCAGGTATGAAGTGACTGGGAGTTGATCCTTGCTTTTTCTAGTTTCTGTTCCACTTTTTCTTGTCCAAGGGAGTTTGAGCTCACCCCCACCAAGATTTTAGAAGTAATTTCGGTGTATATTGTTTTGTTTATTTTTGGTCGGTGGAAGATGTTGACATTAATGTTCACCTTTAAACCAGGGTTTTGCTGGCAAACGTAGATGACTCTTTCTCAGAAAGGCTATATATTTTCTCTCCAGGGTGACCATATCCTTATTTTCCATGACAGATCTTGACAACAATATATGCAAAGGATATATAAAGATGATAACAAATACAATAATATTGAGCCTGATCGTTTCCATTTCTTTAGTTTTCTGGATTATGTCTATGACTGCAAGTACCTATTATGGTGAGTATGAATGTTCTAAGTTGTTTTTCTACCCTCCAATAGTTGAACTTTAAGATTGTCTCTTGTGAAATCTCAAACTCTTCTTTCCTGAATAGTTACGAAGATGGTCTTACTCACCTTCCACAGCCTAAATTTAATTTACTGACTGGATTTGCTTACTGGAAAATATACAATGTTTTGAAGATTTAAAAATCTTTACTAAAAGTGATGTGATTATCCTTGTTAGACATTCTTCAGAATGACTTTACATTTTATGCAATCATTAGACCTATCTTGGTATAAAGATAGATGAAATGAAGTTATGTTAAGTGATTAGTGTAATCTTTTTCATTTTGAGTAAGATTGTTAGCGACATAATTTACCCGTTTCATGTATCCTGCAAAAATAAAAGCTGAAAAAATAAATAAATAAATAAAAGCTGGAATAATATTTACATTAGAAGATTTGCAGGATTGGTCTGCCATTTGGACATGCCAAAAGAAGAGCCTCCTTTAACACCTGAAGCTGCTGTGCATAAATATAAAGCCCACTGGGCGCAGTTCTTTACGGTTTTGAGGCTGATTTAGAACATAGCATGCTTTTACACACACTTCCTTGTTACTTCCTTGTATAAAAACAGAATATTGATCAGTTCACAACAAAGAAAAAAGTTAAAAGGAGGATGACAAAGAACTCTAAAAAATGTTATATCATCAGTGATGGCCATTCCAGATTGTAGCCCGTTTGCCAAGAGACACGTAAATAGATGAGTGTTCTCCAGGAGAAGATTTTTTTTTTAATCATTTTATTTGGGGCTCATACAACTCTTATCACAATCCATACACACATAAATTGGGTAAAGCGCATTTGTACATTCATTGCCCTCATCATTCTCATCATTTGCTCTCCACTTAAGCTCCCGGCATTAGGTCCTCATTTTTCCCCTCTCTCCCCGCTCCCCCCT